TGTTTCCACTTAAAATTTATTGTTTTATTGCTCTTTGAACTGTCTAACTAATAATCGAACCACACAAATTGTAAATCACTTGGTGAACATGTAGCTCTTGCTACTCTAACGAGTTATGTAATGCATAGACCAGTCTCAAATTGCTTGCAAGCATACCTCATGAAAAGTTATTATTTTTTCTATATTTTACCTAATCTAACTTAAAAAGTTTCTAATTTTTACATTTTAGTTACTTTTATAATAATAATTAAAGAATAAACATGAAAAAACAAGAAATATAGTACTTACTTTCTTTTACTGTCGATGAAACTTAACCCTATTTTTCTATACTAATAGTACTACTGCAATAAATAATTTTTTATTTAATTAAATAATGCACCAAAGAACACAGGATAATAACACATGCAGACAATGTCCTATAACTATCACAGTTTTTCTGGCTTTCTAATTATGCAACAAGAGCCATTAAAAATTCAGCTAAGCTCATTGATGTTTCCCATGCGAATAAAGTTTGAACTAGAAGCAAAATAGACACTTTTCTGTACAGAAAACAAAGTAGCATAATATGCCATTTGACAGATTAAAACTTTAGGTTTATATTGATTAATTATAAATAATATAGTATTAAATGTAAGAGAGAACTGTTGGCAGTTTGTGAAAGAGAGGATGCAATAGGTGGGCATAGCAAGAGGGGTCTGATTTTCTAGTTTTTGGCTCTGTAACCAAATAAGATTGAAGGTTATAAAAATTATGCTGTCTGAGTGATGACAATATTATAATGAGTAATTTACATTAAATTTCATACTTCTTGAGGTGGTGATAAATACAATAGAGAAGAAGAAATATCTAGAAAAGAAATGTCACAATTCTCATACTTGTGGAAATTGAGGATTTTTTTTTAATATCACCTTATAACATTAAAACTTATATAATATTAAAATTTGGACTCTCAGCTACATTTTGATGTCAGGTTTCTAACTCAGTAAAACCTTATGACACAGAAAAAGGTTTACCTGTATGGGAAGAGTTAAGGAGCAAGAAAGATGGAGAAGAACAAAAAAGCAGAACAGAGTGGAGAGAACAGGGGAAAAAACACCTTCAGGTACCAGGAAAGGAGAAAGGCTCTGGTTAGGGACAACCAGCAAGGGAGGAGACTGACAAGCCATCAACATCAGGAGGAAAGGGGTGGTGGAAGGAACTACAGTTAAAGATCCATCACTGATGTTAATAGACAAAGACAGTGGAAGAGGGAGAAGAAAGTAGCAAGAACAATGCTACATAAGTAGAATGTTTGGTTCACTGGATGACAAAATTGACAACTTCCCTCTGTGGGGATGGAGGAAAGATATCTCCTGATGAAAAGGGAATGCATGAGGATGAAACAAGAGAGCAAGGGGGAGAGGAAGGGGTCTGATAACAAGTGGACCAAGGCAGAGCCAGTCAACGAAGACCATAACAGAGGAAGCCTGGAGTAGAGAAGGGTGGTAAGGACATCCAAGTGGGGCATGTCCAACCAACAGCAAACTTCAAAAAAGACCAGAGGGTGTAGAGACTACTCTGTTGTTAGAATACGGGACTGGAAAAGATAAGAGGATTGCCACCAAGACATAAGCACCTGGTAAATGACATGCAAAAAGACTAAGTGGATGAGAATTGACTCCCTAAAATGGGAGTCTCATGAATGGACAGAACAAGAAACAACAGTGGAATAGACTGAGTGGAACTTGACCAAGTGATCCACCAGTAGAGGCAGGAACTGGAACATGCCCCAAAAGTAGTGAAAATGTTGGGCACAGTGATGTGGAGTGGACACCTGTCCAGTGTCCAAAGGTCAGAAATTCTTCCCACATCTAGAAATGTACCTCAATCAAAGAGGGAAAGATCAAAAAAGGCTGAGGTCTGAATTGAGAGGTGATAAGGGAATGCAGAAAGTAGTGGGAACATGGTCCAGTCTCCACAACAATTCCTTAGGGAGAAACTCACAGAAGAGGACAATAAACCTCAAGAAGAAATTCTTGGGTCCACAAGATTCACTGTATGAGACATGAATGCATGCCCCAAAGTAAAGATGGTTTTTAGGGAAGCCAAGGTCCCTAGATGCAAAAGAACCTCTTGCAAGATAGAGAAAAAGATGTGTAAAGCCAAGTAACCAGACATGCCATAGCTTGTAGGTGAAGGAGAAGAGACCTAACTCAGTTGAGACCAGAGAGGAATAAAATGCTCAAAAGTACCAAACACTGAGTACTTGTGTGAGAAAGGATTGAGATCCCTGGATAAGTTCTCCCCAACCAAATAGCCACTGTAAAAGAAAGGAAGTAGGAGAAGATGAAAGGATCAAGAATGGGCTAACAGAAGTAAACAGTGCAATAAAGGAACACCAGCCCCGAGCTGTGAACTCACAATACCAAAGAATAAAAAAAGGGCTGACACTTGTGCAAATAGAAGAGAAAGGAATGGGAGGCATGAAAATGACAGAGAACATAAAAAAAGTGTGAAAAGGTACCTGACACATCAGCCATGGCTGACTACAGACTGGATGCAAAAGATCATAGATGGGGTTGAAAGGAGGAGAAAAGAAAGTGGAGAGAAAGGACTGAGGAAAGATACCATGGTGGAGAATAGGAAAATGACTGTTGTCAAAAAGTGAGACCAACAGCAGGAGGGGAGACTGGTACCCACAGGATCATAGATGTGTGATAGTCACTGGCAAGGAGAGTGACAAACTAAGCATCTGGAAAAGCAAAAACAAGAAAATGAGGAAGGCCTGGAATCTGGAATGGGGAGTTGAGGAGAAGACTGGATCAGATAAAGAATAAGAATAAATGACAAGGCCAAGAAGGAAGAAAAAATGAGAAGAAATTCTACAAAACAGAACAAAGGAGTCACAAACTTGAGGGAAACAAGGAATTTGGGAATGAAAAAGGATTTGTTAGAAAAAGGAAACAGTACAAATTCCAATAAGAAGCAAGGAGAAAAGACTAGCTAAACCCAAAAAATGTGGGTCAAGGAGTGATAAAACATAAACTGATAAAGAACATATGCAAAATATAAGGAAAGGAACATACATGAGAATGAAATTCAGACAGAGAAAGGAAGATTAAGGCTGCTTCATGAATGGCAAGGTACTGCCCAAAACAAACTGGTGAAGGTTGCATTCCAAAAGATAATTTCGAACGAGAATAAAGAAATTTGGTCATCGGGATGAGAGAAGGAGGCTCAGTAAGCATGTGGTAACCCACACCAAGTTAAACAATGGCTGCAACAACCCTGATGGTTAATGAGCCTCCTAGAACCACAGTAGAAATAAATCCTAAGTGTGAACATACTCAGTACTAAGTATAAATCACTGTCTCTGAGAACACATGATCAAAATTAAAGCTTTTGAAACAAAAGCCAAAGAAAATGAAATTCAAAGTTTTGTTAATGATGCAACTTTCAACAAATTGAACTCAAATGAGAAAATTAAACATTTCTGACCAACACAATGCAGAGAAAAAGAACAAAGTTTACATAAATGCAACTTTACAGGGGGAACTATTGTGCATAGGGGTGTATCACCCTCCTACAGGTGGAAAGCTTTGTCACATGATTACATCATCATGTAGTAGTACAATTCATATTAAATCACATGAAATTAAGTGCCGTTGCTTCAAAGCTAGTGGCATGAGAGCCTCTTCAGCAGATACACGAGGAAGATAGACAAATCTGTGTGTACAGATGATGTATCATACTTGAAATGAAGATTGTGTAACAAATATGTTTATGCTGCATAAAAGTACTGTACACAACAAAGTAACCTAGATTAAGCAGTATTCCATCATTGAACACTAGTGTTATAAAGATCTGTTTCTTTGACACCACAATATTCAAGTGCCAAGTTGTTTGATGTTTTCACTTTTAAAACATTTACTGATCACATTTCCAAATTTGTGTGTTCTAGCATTTCTCAAATTTTAGCAGTTCTTAACATTTTTTTACTATATGACTAGATTTTACTGAATTCCTTGCAAATATTTCAATTTGCACAAAAAACTTGAAAAACACTGAAAAAATTGTGCCTGTTTTTAATGTGCTAAATCTTGATAAGAAAAAAATTAATAAAACTTTCAAAGATGCTCAAAAAATATACAAAAAGTTTCTTTCAAAATACTAAAATTTAACAATTTGGAATCTTCAAATCAGAAAGTGCTATGAAACTCATCATAGCACTTTCTGACAAGTATAAAAAAATTCATATGATTTTAATATAAATAAAACATATTTGTAAAATAAATTACAAACAAAAACATTGCATTTAACTATAGTTTCAAAATTATCTTAATATTTAACTTGAGCTTTGCCTCTCTTTGTCTATATATATTTGCAGTAATATCTTATACATATGTATTTATAAAAATATGTAGAAGATAGAATATTATAATTCCATATACAGCTTTTACTAATAATAGTAAAAAATGTACAGTTTCAGATAATCAAATTTATAACCATTTCACAGCATCTAAGTGGTCTGATCTTTGGTTTTTAAATGCCATGATAACAATTTATTAAATTTCACTGCATTTGAAACATTGCAAACCTTTGGTATTTTGCTCCGTAAAACTGAAGGACTAGCATCAAATTGAGTTTTAATAAAATGTCAGACTATTAACTTGAAAATCTACAGATTAGTAGAGATTTTTATAGTAGATTTGACCAATCACAGTTTACATAAAAAGTGTTCCAATGTGAATGATTATAAAAAAATATTTACATAACAAGTACATAAAAAATAAATATTTGTTTTGATTGTGGTCATACAACTGATAAAGCTCAAATGATACTTTTCTTGACCATCAATAAATATCAATGAAGCTAACACAATAATAAATGTTTCAGTGAGAAGTTATTTTTGAATCATTAAGTTTTTATGGTTAGCTAAATACTTTTTTTTAATTACTCCATCAAGCAACTAAAATTTTTATAACTCATAAAAATATTTATAAATATATTTGATTATAATAATCAACTTGTTTTTATTGTAATACTTTTTTCTATGACTAAAGATGTGGATGTATTTAGTGTTCATAAACTCCTAAAACTAGATATACCATCAAAATGTTTATACTTTTTTCACAAGAGAATATCCATGTAATTTTTGTGTTTTCCTTCATTTGGCACTCATTTATCATATTCAACAGCATTTTGATAATGAAAAAAATCTTTCTTTCATTTAATAATCGTTACTGTTACTCTATAAATGCACAATATTTATAATAATATATGGTTTCCTGCTTCATGAACCAACTTACGATAGTTCATTGACACCAGAAAACTATGAACGATCCAGGCGAAATGTTTCCTCTGTGGCAGGATCAGTAATTACAGATATATCTGGATCTGTAAGGATCTGCAACCCATCCAAATCAATTGGATCTAGTCCAGCCCTTAATGCTTCATCTGCAGGGAAGAAATCAGCATCAAAACAGCCAGAGAGGTTGGCCATTGCTGTACTCAAACCACTAGCAAAATCTTGTTTCATTAAATGTTCCTCAACCCCAGGACCTGTGGAATAAATAAAAAAATCACATAAGTGTGTAATGTTTTTCAACACCTGCTGTAGCATGCTATGATATCAATCCTTAGTAAACACTTCCTAAAAACATTAATATAATTCAACCAAATTACTCAATCAACAGGTCAACATAAGTGATTTCTTTTAGCAGAATTTCATGCTTATCTAAATTTCTTTTGTCTTTCAACCATTTAATTTACTAAAAATTTCATACAACTTTAAATTAAACAGCGATTAGTTTTGACCATAGGCCATAAATTTCAAGTACTAGATGTTTACCATCGTGACTACATTCTTTTATAAGTTTATAAAACCTATGGCCATATTACTGTTTACTATGGATTCAATGTCATGTCTGATTTTTCAATTCTTGTTGTTGTTTTTTTTTTCCATTTTGCAAAATAAAGTATTTTTATATCTCTATTGTAATTTGTGGTCCTTTCAATGAACCACCACTATATTCATTGCATATGAATGATAGTAACAATATCACAACTTTCTTTTTCCAAAAAAAGTTCTGAAAAAGTATAAACATTCAAGGAAAAATTAATTTTGTGGGGTGATTGTCAAGTTCAATACACACAGCATGCAATTATGATATACCAATAAAGTTAAAACATCAGGCATCTGTTATATGAATGAGCATATAAAAACCAGCAGCAAGCAGCCTCACTGACATGTTTTTAGCAAGACCTGATTCCATTGCCAAATTGACTGAAACTGTCCTGCTCCGTTTGCCCCATAGTAATGTTGACAGTGAGAAGATTTTTTTCTATGCTGAAAAATATTCACATACAGAACAGAAAAAGTCTCAATCCAAACACCAAAGTTTTCTTGCAGCGCAAACTAAACACAGTTTAAAGCAATAGTCACTTTACTAAAGAGTGTAAAGGAGTCAACCTCTGAATATAATCAGGAACATTTGTAAATATTTTTGCAACTGTCACGTTCATCATTGGGATTTAATAAAATGTTATTCTATTTCCAGTACTTATCCTTTTTATATTTTGTTTTAAATTTTATTATTATTTATATTGAAGGCTTTCACACATTAATAGTTATACAGCAAAGAATGAGTCATCATGGAATTTTTTGGGTAATTTAAGAAAACTGGGTTTTCATGTTAATAACTACAGGTAAACACCAAAACAAGTTGATGCGTGTGATGAGCCCTCCAATATCAGGTGTCAGTTAATTAAATCAGCCATTCATTGACAGATTTCTTTATACATTTTATACTGAAATTCATAGAAAACACATACCAAAAATTGTTATACTGTACATCATGTAAACCTATAAAGGAAAAGATAAAGCAACACATCACACATGTAAAGAAAAAAGATGGATATCAACCTTTCAGTTTACACTCTTACCACTATGATTAACCTGTCCATAATTAACTTGTAACTTTACACTTCTTACCACTATGATTAACCTGTCCATAATTATTAACCTTTCAGCTTACACTTCTTACCACTATGATCAACCTGTCCATAATTATTAACCTTTCAGCTCACACTTCTTACCATTCTGATTAACCTTTCAGCTTATACTTCTTACCACTATGATTAACCTGTCCATAATTATTAACCTTTCAACTTACACTTCTTACCACTTTGATCAACCTGTCCATAATTATTAACCTTTCAGCTTACACTTCTTACCACTATGATCAACCTGTCCATAATTATTAATCTATCAGTTTACACTTCTTACCACTATGATTAACCTATAACTTTACACTTCTTACCACTATGATTAACCAGTCCCTAATTATTAACCTGTGAATTAACACCATCAGTCAGAATCAGGCTCTGACAAGTTGGAGAGCAAGGTAATGCTCACGTGAAGAATAAAAATACTTTTGTCTGTGGTATTGTTCACATATTACATTTGTATAGCCTTTAAAACCTCCTAAATGCATGTCTACAGTTGTTGTTTTTTCAGTATCCCTGGACAGTGCATCTGGTACATACTTCCCTCTACCATGAATGGTTTCTATATCAGAAGTGTGGGGTAAAATAAACAGTTGATAACTTTGACATCAAATACAAAATGCCATGCTGTATAGTACTCTGTAAAATGTCATGGCAAGTGCAATTTGACCCACATCTGTGCACATAGGGTTGAAATATATTAAGTACCCATGTTATTTGAAATAAGTAGAAGTTGTTTAAAAGATGACCTTTATTAGATGGAAAAATTGATAAGGTGTTTTTGTAGACACTGTTTCAATACTACATCATTCAAGTATAACTAAATGTAAACAAAAAATGTTTTAAGCATGTACTAATAGAAGGAATGCAATATTATCAAATGCTTATCTGAATTATGTTATCTAAAACATTTATCTATTTTCTCAAATGTCATTTTTTTGTTTTAAAAACTAGTTACTTGGTCAAACACTTGTCTTTTTTTAAGTCTTTGGCCACTATTGTGATACTGGTCTGCCCTACTTGTACATGTATTTGACAACATAATGAAATAGAAGCATGTTTTCTGTGTTTGTTTATAAGTTTACTTTCTTTTGTGCAAAAAAGTATAATTATTAATTAACAAATACTTTTCACGTATGTGACCAAAAAAAAAGATAAAGTATTTTATAATTTAATTAACTTATATCTAATATTCTTTCTAAAAAGTCTCATGCACTAAACATCAAATAACATGTTTCATACATTCCTAGATACACAACGTTTCTCAACTGTTTGATTTCACAATCAAGTTGATTAAAAATGTTAGATAAAATACACAGGCAGTTACAGATAAACATGTTCATAAACAATGGCACTCCTTAAATTTTTCATATGCCAATAAATCAACAAATTTAAGATATAAGGTATTTGTAATGTATTTTAACAACTACAAGTAATATGTGTTATAACAGTTTATTTATGATGAGTAAAGAACATTAGAAACTCCCCATAAACATAAACACTAGTCATCATTATAATATGCCTGGCCTTGTTCATTGGTTTACCCTTGACCAGAACTACCAAGAGAAATTTAACCAAACTGTTCTAAATCAGTAATAATGTAGCAAATACAAGAATATACTGAGCTTCATTTTTTTTCAACAAAATTGTAAATTCAGTAATTAAATTAAGTTGTTAACATAAATATAGACATTCTACATATGTTCACGTAACTGTAACTCACTATTTCTAACTAAACAAACTCAAAATCTTTTCACTACAATCTATCTTTGCTTTTCAGTCCTAAAACTAAATATTAACCAGAGCCTCTAAAATTACTGTAATCATTAAACTGAGTAATCTGATATTATCTAGCTATAAAATAGTAACAAAAACCTTGGAATTGTCTCAAAGAGTTATCTTCATTATTAAAAAAATAATAATAATTCCTACATGAAGAAAATATCTAACAGATGAAATTGACTAAAAACAAACAAAATACTCACTAAAATATCAAAAAATTTTGTGAACAGAAAATATTAAAAGCAAAATGAATGATTCCTTATGATTAAATCATGCAATATTTCATATTGTTTTGTTTTAGATTTTTGTAAAAACTGCATTAGCAGTCTGTACTTCATATTTGTTCTAATGATGTAAAATACAAGTTAGTGTAAAATTCAAAGAAACATTCAAAAGAATTCTAGTTATAACATAACAGTAAGCAATAACTGAGTTTTATTGGCATGAAGTATTTGACTTAAATTTGTAGTACACTACGTTTTCTGTACTACTATAACATACTTCACTTTATTATGGTAGAAATTTAAATGAGTTTGAATCACTTGTGATGTTTAAAAAAATGTATGTTATAGTTAGAAAAACAAAAATAAAATAATAGATATTCATTTACACTTCTGATAAATTGAGTAGTTCTTTTACAAGATTTTTACATGTAGACAGTAGGTTTACTAGGCACACTCTGTAGAAAAAGGAGGTCAATGAGAATATTTACAGATAATAATTGTTAAAAAAACAAATCAATTCTCCAAAAAATAAACCAATAATAATAATGTTCACACTTAAATATACCTGTTAGAACAATATCAGGAATACTTGTTGGTGTTTGTGGAGTTTTAGGTGTGGGTGGATGACTTGAAGACAACACATTAGAAGTAGACAAAAAAGAAGGAGACTGTAGATGAGTATCTGATCCTGATGAATCCATGCCGTACAACTGGATGGCCATCTCTAGTGTGTCTTGATTACTCATCATATCTTGGGCTAACACATCAGGGTAAAGGAACTTAGTTCCTTCTACAAGTGTTTCACTCTTACCACTTGATCTTACATCAACGGCTGCATAACCAGAGCCAGAACTAGTGTGTGACATAGGAATGTTCCCAATACCTGGTGAGTTGTTGTCACTGAACTAAAAGAAAAATCAATGTATTAATGTATATAAGAAGTGAAACAATGTATAGGATGCTAATAGCCAAACATGTTATATTTCTTCCTAGCCTACACACCTTTCATCAGAAAGTTTAACATAATATGCATAAGATGATAGACATACAAGTACACTTTATTGAAGTTAGATCAATCTGACAGCAAGTTTGTTTGTAGAGGCTGTGAGGTTAATCCTTCAACAACACATTATGACAAGCTTTCCTCCTCTATAGAAGGATATTAGATTGTTTCCATATACCATGTTTTTAAACAAACAAGATGCACAAAAATCCATGGGTGTGTAGTCGTGTAGCACGTCAGTGAAAGGAAAAGCATGAACACCAATTTCATAGGAATGCTGCTGCAGACTTACACATCTAACTTTAACACTTTGTCTTGATGTAGCCATACTTGTTTTTGGTGATATAATAAAGGATGACAGCTCATCTTTGCTTGACTATACACTTTGTGAGCTTTACATTTTTGATCATAAGAGAAATCTGTGACAACCATAATGCCAGACAAGAAACTTTATTTACATTCTCTATTTTATGTTATAAAATAACTCATTTCTTGTACAAGTTGATCAAGTACATTAAGACCCCATTTCTTGTTCCATCTCCCGAGCACAAAGTATTTTTCATACAGTTCTCTACAGTTTTTCTCATCAATGTCTCTGAGGAATAGAATGTGCACGCTTCATTTATGATTTCTGGTGAGGGCAAGGTCTTTGTGAATGACCCTGAGCACATGAAGTCAAGATATGCTTAACTTATTAGTAACGACTAGTCTATGAACTTAAGCAATAGTCAGCAGTCTTGAACAACAATATTGTTTAGATGGTTTTACATTGTACTAATCATGTCTTTACAACACTGTTCACTATCTTAAAGGGATTTCATTAAGCAGAAAAATGAAAAGATTTAAATCTTTTACAATTTAACATACATTTTCCAGCCATGTATCTACCCATAGTAGACACTGCAGGTGTTAAACATGTTGTCAATTGTTGCATGTATAGATACACCACTGCAAAACACATGCAGATCATTCTTATAAGATGAAAGTTATAATTTTCCTATACTGAAAATGTATTTCCAATAGGTACTTACCTCCTCTCACAAGATTAGCTATTCTCGTTCAGTGCTGCCCTCTGAACGCGAAATTTTTCTTTATACATGCCACAAGCCCACCGCCTGTTGGAACTACTATATTCCAACATGTCTCACACGTAAGGAGTGTTGCAAAATAAAACACACTTTTTTCCCCGAAGTAATGACGAACTTGGTAGGACCGCGAATATCATCACTCGTGAGAAAACGTCATTTCAACATACTCATGGGTGTTTGACTCTTCAAATTTAATTTTTTGCAAAACTTTTGAATCATGGTGCTCACTAGAACTCAGGTTCTTGTTGCATGTGCTGCCTTTGGGATAGCTCAGAAAGTAGTCGCAGACATGCTCCGAGAATTCAAGTCTTCCAATCGACACATTGCAGTGCCAGATTTGAAAAATCTGATTAATGCCTCAAAAGTTTCAAAATTGTTGAATTTGAAAGAGTGGACTGTGAAAAAGTGGTGGAATGTGGATTGGGAACTCTCCAGATTTAAATCCCGCTGAAAATATCGAAGCTTTCATTCAACAATGCACAGAAGAAATGTTGGAAACTTTGACTGAATGCGAGAGACACAAACATGAAATCTTGATTCGTGTTCTCACTAATGTGCTCAAAGAGACAGCCACAAAAACAGACATGTTTGTTGCATTGCTGAAATCTTTTGCAAATTTTATAAAACTTGTGCGTGAGAACAATGGTGGCCCAATCAAGCAATATTGATACTTGGAATTACTTTTTTGATTGAATTAAAATCTTATTTTACTTTGTTATGCTCTCAGAGAAAAAAAAGTGTGATTTATTTTGCAACACCCCTTAGCATGATGTGCTCATGTGATGCATATGATTCCCTCTACACTCCTTTACCGAACCTTCACTTCAAAGTATCGTAGAAGGTGTGAGCACATGAGAAGTTGGGAGGAAGGGTGGGAAGAGGTAAGTACCTATCAGAAGTACATTTTCAGTATAGGAAAATTATAACTTCCAATACAGTACTTACCTCTCTCACAAGATTAGCTAGAATCCCACATTGAGAAGGAAGAGGGAATGGTGCAAAGGAATGAAAGAAGTACCCTCAAAAGCATCCGAAGGACACAAGAGGGGAACCACACCACTTCTGGGCCAGGTATACTTGTCGCCTATGTGTGGAATGTGTAATAAAAAAGGGCAGAAATGGATAAATGTAGAGTGGCTAGGGGTGTGATGGACTGTACTTGGTAGGTCAACTACATCTAAAACCTCCTCGCGGAGTAATGACATCCACACAAGGGTAGGATGAGGATCATATCATCTTCACCTTAAACCCAAGAATCGGGGATTATGAGCCACACTGATTTCTAGGTATGACATGAGGATCATCACTGATCTATTGATCCGGGAATTGACATCTGATATAAAAAAAATGGCAATCGCAAGGAATCAACTGATATGAGGAATTATGTTAATTGTTTCTCTCTAATCCAGAACCTCTCAACAGGGTACCAACATCAATGTGAGGGTTGGATGAAGACTCCCTAAATTGAAGGGGTGAACTGCAATTTTGACAGCTTAACTCCCGTGAGTGAATAAATGGTATCAGGAGGCCAGTCATCCAGTAAGGTGACGGCTCAACTCCCATGGCTGTAGAAATGGTATCAAGAGATCATATCATCCAGGAAGGTGACAGCTCGACTCTAGTGGTTGCATAAATGATATCAGGAGAACACGTCATCCGGTATGGTAACGGCTCAATTCCTCTGGAGGCTACGTCTTATTTATATCAGCAGAACACCAATGCCCTACTCTCAACTGAATGGTTCAAGCCTTTTTTTTTGTGGAACTCATTCAGGAGGGTGCCTCCATGGTCAACCACACTGGCAGCTTGGAACTGGAAAGTGGTAAGGACTCCCATACTGCAGATGAATATCGCCATTAGCGACAGTGCAATGGGTGACCACAAAACCTTATTTTGAAAAGCAGAATATACTGAGTTGTTAACTTGAGGCATGGCAGGGATGGGCAGCAATCCCTTTCTACTTTACCCATGTAGTCCATGGATAGTATGAACATTTTTATGAAACAGAATATCGTGAGGTTATTCACCATCAAGAAGTCTTGTGGAACACCCCATCTCGATGATGATTGTGCAAAGCAATGGAAAATAAAGTGAGAGTCAACATGGCTGTACAGTATGAATTTAGAGTTAAAGAATATTTGGTCAGGCACCACTCGCAACAGAGCGGGATCCATGTGATAAAAAGAGATAAAGGCCCCTGGAAGAAAGAAAGTATGAATAAAACTTACCAGTTAAAGTCGCACTGCAATCTGGAGAATAACTACAGGTGATAGATGCAACCCTGACAAATAGGAAAGTGTGACACGATGAAGATAGTGAGAGATGTCGGATTTGATGGGAGGAAACTTGGAAGTAGGTAGGGAAGAGCAGGCCAAATGAATGACAAGGCAGACCCAATTAGTAAGGGTAGAAGATGAAAGATCACGGAGGTAGGAGGATTGCCATGAGATATAAAGTCGGTTGTGCATACCTCAAAAGAGAGCAGTACATGCCACATAACAACAAAGGGCCCTAACCAGACACAGAAGTCTATCAATCTAGTCTAGGGGAAAGATGGGATATATATAGAAGGAAGGGAAATAAGAGAAAAATGATGAACAACCATCTAGAGCTGCCAAAGTCTTAGGGAAAAAGAAATGATTGGGATAAAGGAGAAGATAAGTAGGGTGATAAAAGATACTTAAAATGTCAATGGCAAACAATTCTGACCTTCGACATTTACAGGCTAGGAGAAGGAGGAAATATGTTTTAAAGAGAGATGAAACAAGGAACTTGAGGAAAGTGGTTTAAATGGTGGTAAAGTAATCTGGAACAGTTGGAAGTCTAGAAGGTTGACTTAACCAGAAGGAATGCATGAGCATGGTAAGAACAGGGAAGAGAAAACCCTTATGGTATTGGGAAAAATGTAAGGTATGGGATATGGCCACCCGATATCCATAAAGCAAGGAGACCAAAGATCCAGGTGAGAAATTCCATCACATGAGCTACAGAAGGCTTGTCAGCAGGAAACCCCCTGTTAGCAGACCAACAGCAGAATACTTTCCACTTGCATTGGTATACTTCCATGGAAGATGGCCATATGGAACAAGTTAACAAGGAGGCAACTTGACATATGAAACCGGATCATCTCACCAAGGACTGGACAAAAGCCAGGCGTGAAGACACAGGACATGGAGACTGGGATGTAGAATGTGAGATCAAGGTTGACAATGAAGGGAGGGAGAAAGTGGAAGAGGGACAGATGGTGATAGAAGCAGACATTGTAGCCTTGGAAACCAAGGTTGAGCTGGCCAATAGAGAGCAATCAGGAGTGCCTGACAAGGAGTGGATTGGACAAGAGATATCACCCGATGAAGTAGACAGATTGGAGGGTACACATAAAGATATTTGTGTGATCAATCCTGGCTGAATGCATCGACCACCAAAGCCTGTGGATGCAGTACAGGTGACCAAAAGAAGGACAGCTTGGTATTGTGGCCCATGGTAAATACATCCAATTGGGGAAAATCCTACCAATGGCAAAGATCCCTGAAAACAATTGGATCTAATGGCCACTTCATTGAACATATTTGGTCAGGGTGTGAAAGATGATCTGAGACGAGACTGAAAGCACCCGGCACATTACATGCAATAATGCAAATATGATGTGAGTGGGCCCAGTATAATAGATCCAGAAACATGGATTTCTGGACCGGGTGCCCCCTTGGTGGTTGTAATGGGCCACCACCAGAGAATTGTTCAAATGAGCCATCACCAGACAATGATGGGCAATAAGAAGGAAGATATGTAACTCATATTGTACTGCTAGAAGTACTGCCTAAGGCTTTCTGGTGATTGACCTATGTCCCCCATCCCTAAAGGGATGCGCCCATGAAAAGATGTATATCAGGATGCGGGGAGGAAGCAGCATGCCCGCCAACATATGTGCTTTGTTTCAGCACCAATGCAGATCATCTTGCAGAGAAGTTGGAAGGGAAATGGAGGTGGAAAGAAGATCCTGACCAAGGTTCCATCATTCGTGAAGTGCCCCCTGAAGGGAGCTCATATGGGGATGACTGAGAGAGCTTAGTTCAGTCATGGAGGACCACATCCCCAAAAGCGATAGAACCTTGTGAGCAGTAAGCAACTGAACTGAGAGGGAATGATGAACCAAAAGTTCCATTGAACGAAGATGTGAAGGAGAAGGCAGAGCATGACTGATATTTGTTTCAAAAAAGACATACAAATGGATTGGATATTGAGTGAGTCAAAAGAATGACTCTCCAATTTCATCAACCAGCCCATCCAAACCACCACAGAAAGGAGTTGGTGAGTATGAGTGGCCGATTCCTGTTCGGAAGGAGCTTGTCATTCATGTATAATGAAATTGCATTCCCAGATCATGGAGATGATGTGCAAAAGTTTGGATTATGCAACAAACACATAGGGAACCGAGGCAAGTCTGAGGGGAGTGCCTGAAATTAGTAAGCCACTCCGCAATGGACAAACTGATGGTAAAGTTGAGACCAATGTAAGCATTGGAGACATCCATCTTCATCATCAACAACCTTGTGGAAAATGCCAATCTCAGGGTGAGAAAAAACTCCATGGTGAACTTAGGGAGTACAATGAAGTGGTTGAGGCAAGATTAATTGATGACCAGCTGCCAATCCGCAGTTTTCTGTGGAGAATGAAAAGTTGGGAATAAATATTCCCAAAAGGAAGGTGTACCAGTTCAATCACCCACTGCAAAAGCAGCTCTTGAAACAACCTCTGACAGATCACAGGATCTCGAGGAGAAGGGAAGGAAATGGAGCAAGTAGAAATGGGAGGTGGAGAAAGAAATGGATAATGAATCCTTCTGATAGAACCTGTATTACCCATTGATTGTTGACAAAGGGATATTAGCAAGGAAGATACTATAATAGCCGAGCTCCCATGGGACTCGAACCTACAGGGTAGTCACCGGTACTGTTGGCAATAGGGGTTGCATCATTGAAGAAATTGGCAAAAAGAAGAAGTACCCCAATGAGAAGGAACGGGTAAGAGTTGGAAGGATGAAGGATTGGAAATGGAAATAGGTGTCAAATCAGGCTCTGACTGAGACAAACAGGCAACAAAAGTCATAAGGAATGATTGCTGGCAGACCAATGTCACCCAAGGTTCGATAGTTTCTGGGACAGTATCAAAGACGTAACATTTCAGAAAAGGTGAAAGACGTAAATCACTGAGATAGGTTGTGGGTAAATTGACCCAAGCCGAAACTACATTCCACCCTATAAGGTCCCAACAACAAAGAAACCACATATGTAACTACAGAGCCGAAGAAGAAATGCAGGCTAAAGTGGAGAAGTGTTAGGGTTTCTGCAGAAAACCCCTCAGTATTTCTGTGGAGAACCTCTAATATATGTATGGAAGAAACATATCATAAGATGATGGTTAGGATAAGACCTAGGTAAGAATATTGGCCATGGATAAGGCTAACATTAGATTTCATATTGGTAATAATGAACCTAAAAACTGCTGAACTAAAAACAGATAGTCCTCACAATGGTAAGAAAGAGCAAACTGATCAGAAGTCCTCGGAAAGGGGAGGAGCATGCTGATTCCCTCATTTAATTGTGAGAGAAATTGATCCATATGTACTCGAATATTAGGGGAGGGAGGAAAAACCAAAAATGGTTGGGAAGCTTGTTCATGTGACATGGAAAGATGAAGGGAATAAGAGATAGGGGAAAGTGACAAAACATCACACACATCAGACACAAAATCCATAAAAACTGAATTAGACCTAGGTTATTTTTCAGACTGTAATTGGGAAAGAGCAGTAAACTCAGGAGACAGGAAAAGATGATCAAAGTCCTCATCATTCTGAACAAGATTAGCCATCTCAAGAGGAGCCTGGGTGATGTCAGGGGACCAAGGTTGACCCATTTCCTAAGGTATAAAAGCAGAAAGATCCCCCTTCGGGTCGCCCACACTTGAGGTGGTAACATGAACTTTGGAAGGTTCACAAAAGTCCATTGCAGCCAAACGAGAAGTGAAGGTTCGGTAGAGGAGTGTAGAGGGAGTAACATGAGCATATTGTGCTACTAATGGTTAAGAGATGACAAATGATGATTTACATGAGATACATGTTGGAATATAGTAATTCCAACAAGGGAATAGAATAGCTAATCTAGTGAATGGAGGTAAGTACCGTATCAGAATTAACCATAAGATTGTAAACAAAATAAAAGTACCTTCGTGTATTCTTCACAAAACTAATCAACACAGAAGTAAAGATACATGGGTATTAATTACATTAGATGAGCATGATTAAGTTCACAACATCCCATGTCTAATTTACTATGTAATATGTATGGGAAGATGGTTGCTGCTAAATAAATAACAATAAAATATCACAACAGAGAAGTAGCTTACGGAAGAAAACTAGTTCGTTCATGTGTTTGTAGCTAAGCACAAAGCTACACAATGGGTTATCTCTGCTCTGCCCATCACACGTATTGAAACCTGGTTTCTAGGATTGGAAGTCCGCAGACATACTGCAGTGCTAGTGAGGGGTGAAGAAAACTAATGGATGTTATAAGTCTGATTGTTTAAATAAAACATTCAATAATGGTGAACAGATGTTTAATAGTTTTCTCTGTAGTATGATGTTAAAATTAACTTTTTTATTTATATTAAACAATTAATAAATATGCTTGTTAACATTTACAGAAGAAATAATAACAAATCTTAAAACACCTCTCTCTTTCTATGCCTTGACAAAGGTTCATGTATTCAGTTAATAAATATGGATACAGTAATAAATGCACCAATTCATTATAGTACCAACCTTGGTCTGATAAATTACAGATATCCCACAAGGCATGCTCTCAACTGGAATTCCACAAGTTTCAGGTACAATATTTCTCAAGTATTAAATAAAAAATGTGTTAAAATTAATGACAATGGGAATATTATAGTCTAACCCTCTAAATTAGGTCTTTCAGATGGACCTTAATATTTTCCATTTTAAATAATTGCATTGTCTCTTCAAAACCTAGTTTGGACATATCTTCTTTATTGGCATGAATCATTATCCTACTAAGAGAAAAAGTTGTCTGATGATCAAGAAAACTGTGTTCCAGTCCCTAGACTATGTTTACATAGAAATAGTTATACATTTGTTGTGGATCATATTGATTTGATGGAATTTCAAACAAATTAACAGAGTATTGAACTGATTAAATATTTTTTATTTAGATAGCTTTCACTCTTTTATGTTAAATATTATAAATTAATATAAACTCTCATAAACAAAAAGATATATTTAATTGCAAAATAAAATTTTGTAAACCAGTGTTGCATCAAATATACCCAAAACAGGGAGGTCAGATGTCCAAATGATTTATTATGGAAGTGTGTGTGTGTGCATATATATTCAGTACCCCAAGAAAACTGAAGAAGCAAAACCCTTCTTGTTAAAACATTCTTCAAAACAAATGAGTATCTCTTTACATAATAGAAGAAAATTCAACAGAAATCTTTGCCAAAGACCTAGCTGTAAGTAAAGGGAATGTTACCTCCAAATGGTCAAATATACATTACCACAAAGTGATCTCAGTTAATGTGTAACTACTCACAAACAACTACTTACAAGAGATAACCAAACTAAAGGGTTGAAACATGCAGCAGACTTCAAACAATGAGAAAAAATGGAGGAAGATGCTCTGTAAAGATAAACCTAAATTCAAATCGATAGGCAGCAGTTCAAAATAGTTCAATGGCAGTGAAGAATATGGTATTACTGCCAATGTACAACACTTACAATGAACCATGCCAAGGGACCTACACAATCATGGGCTGCATCTCAACCAATGGTAATGCAGATCTACATAAATTGACTCCTGACAGTACAAGTAGATTCTTTTCATTCCCTCAAACAAAACAATGAACCCAAGCATACATATTAATATTATGTGGTGAAATAACACTGGGAAGCAGATGGGAGGATGATGGTTTGTCCTGCACAAAGTACCAATGAATATTATTAACAATGAGGTCTAATAGCTTAAATATGTGGAGTTATACAGGGCACTTAAAGCATTACTTACCAATCATCATTGAAAAACTTGTGGTAGCATTAAAACATGTTCAGTATAAAGAAGATACAAAATGCTAGTGCATTGTACAATTTACTCACTTTTATTTCATATTTTGTTACAATTACTCATTATTTCACTTCTGTATGTGTAACATGCATTCCATAATTATTTCCAATACTGTACATGTTGCATAACAATATGTTTTATAATTTCCAATAATTCAAACTTCAAGTCATTTCAATGAAATTTAATTATTTAAGTCATTGTCATAACCAATGGAGTCCTTTGTTTGGAATTTGTATTTATCAAAATATTATCAATATAGAATTATGAAAAATAGAAATGATTTAATCTTCCAACCTTTTATTATTTCATTTACAAGGCTTTCAGGAGTTGCATTAAACAAATATAATCAAAAAGCTTTAAGACAAACTTACCACTGACAACTGATCAGTCTGTTCAGTTGCTTCGTTTAACATTTTAATCTGTTCTAGTTGCTGCTGAAGAGATTTGGCTTGTTGGTGGTGTTGTTGAAAGTAGTAGTTTGTGTCAGTGAAGGGACTTTTATTCAAGGGGAGGCTAAACCCTAAACCAGGAGAATCAACAGGAGAAATACTGTGTGCCACAGGAGATGTTGGAGCACTACACGAATGGTCAGATGGCCCGCTGTTGTGATACAAGCCCATAGAAATCTACAAGATGATAGAGATATATCACACTTACTCTATCTACATGCAAAACAAATTATAGAAAATAATAATTATTATTATGTAACACCTAAAATGTAGTGAAAAGTTTATGTATCTACCAGCAGTTATTAATAATAACAAGCATTTGGTAAAGACATTTGTACTAATGAGCCAGAGGAGTGAACATGAGCTAAATCAGTAAATCCTATACTCAAGCATATAAGCTAAATGTAATTATATAAAAATCTTGCATATATTGTGAACCATGGTGTCTGTCCGAGTGTTTGTCTGTCTCCCATTTGAAAAGCTGCACAAGCAGGCAAAGCTCAACATTCGCTTTTGAGATGATAGGAGAACAGGCATGAATAAAGTTGATGCTAGATGTTATTTTACAAGCAGGATATTCTACACTAAATTGTTAGGAATTATTCAAACTATCATTCACTTTTTAAAATTTGACATAACTTAAAAAATGAAAATGGAGATTTACTGTATGTTATTGTTAAGCAGCTCTAAGCGTGACGGAAATGCTCAACAATTACTTTTCATGGTGGACAGTATAGGAAGCTCAGAGCTTTGACTGTGAGTGAAACCAAGAGTACAACACAATTAACCATTTTAAAGTCCATGGAATAATTTAAATTGATAGATTAACTTAAACTTTTCCCATCACTGGGGACAGGTACTCTTGCTTGTTCAATATAAAACAGGTATTAGAATAAAAATTTACTTCATTACAAAATACTGAAAACATTTTGCTTAAATTTAAACTCATCTTCCTACATAAATTTAGGTTGATTAACAAAACGTGATTAAATTAATTTTCATACAAAAAGACATTTCCTGAACAAAATATGCCTAAAACAACAAAAAATAAACATGAAATATAAAAACATTCTCACAAAATTTTAACAGGTTACCAACAATATTTTCATGGGAGTACAATACACAACAATTACACTTTTACAATCAATAAACAGGTTTATTTCAACAATAAATGTACAAAAAATATATACTGAAAATACAAACACACCTGGGACAAGGCTTCTGGTTTGTTTCCATAAATATTATGAGAAGAAGCTGAGTATGCCTGTTGTTCAAGGTAAACACCAAGTTCAGATTGTTGTGAGGAGTAATTATTTAAAGAGAGACCTTTAGTTTCTTTTGCCAGGCCCTAGAGAAATAAACTATTATGGAATATTTACTAAAGTTTACTAATGTACACATTATTTCACCTTTGATACAACATTTGTAATTCTAAAGCATAAACATATGTAGAAAAGAAACAGCAAATAGCAACACACACACACACATTTAAAGTTAGGAATATCGCTAATGCCAAATGAGCCGGAGTTCAGCATCAAAACCTATTTGCCATCTCGGCATGGGAGGTATTTAACTAATGAGCCACAAACATTATATTTTTAAAAGCAATGATCTAAAATGTTACATGGAGTAGAAGCTTTGACAAATCCTTTCAAAAAGAGATTAGTTGCAGTAAATATAGACAATGAGCACTATTCATTTATACAGCAGCACATTCATCAACATAAATAGATCTGCTTAACTGCTATAAGTAATCATAATGAACCTGTACAGTGAGTAGCAACCACAACATTTTCCTTCCTACGTTTCTTTATATGAATAGTCCCATCATTATCTTGTTCATTCACGTTTATCCCAAATCCATAAATTCCTTAATGTTCGAATAATTATATTTTTGGTGTTTCTCAATTATTTTTCAATTGCGCACAAACTGCACAGCTACTATAATATGAAGGAGTTATAACTGCAAGGTATCAGTTTCATATGCATATATGTTTATAAATAGACACACACTACATATTAAATTTGTAAGATACTGAAACTGTAATACTAATAACTTTCTTCACCTCTATTTGCTGTTTAGTGATACCATATCTAGCTCCTTGTTCACAAGAACCTTGTCCATCTGAAAACAGATCTTTAAAACGATACAAATACAATCCTAATTTAACCAATATTCATCTTCAACAGTACTAATGTTTCTTCTTAGTGGATTCTTTTGTGTTTCTTGTTTTCTTGTTTAGAACCTTTTTATTTTTCAACTTTATTGTTGTACTTTCAGTAGAGAGATGACCAACTCACTGCACTTCACACACTACCAGGAATTTTGATTTTTAGTCCTTTTATATGCCAGTAGCATCTTATTCAAAACATTTTAGAACCTAAAATTGGCACAACTGCTAAAAAAGGTTTGCCACCTCTGCTTCAGTGCCTTGAAAAAGTATTCACCCCCTACAAAGTTTCCACATTTTGTTGCTGCCTAATCTTGCAATAATGAAACTTTCAAATAGGACTTTATATTTAGAATCTACACTATCTACTCCAAACTGAGAAAGCTAAAAAAAGATGCTGATATTATGTAAGTAAGTAAGTTTCATCCTCAAAAAAAATTAGAATATTCTCAATTGCATAAGTATTCAACCCCTTTCTTTACAGCAACCCTAAATCAGTTCAGGTGCAAAAGATTAGTTTGATAGTCACAAAATTAGTGTAATGGTCTCTGTCTGTGTGTAATTAAAGTTGTTTAACTAGACTTCAAGGTAAATGCATCTGTGCAAGCCACAACTTACATAGTGATACGACAAACCAACCATCATGACCAAGGAGTTTTCCAAATAAGTCAGGGATAAAGTTGTAGAGAAGCACAGTTCATGAGAAGGTTACAAGAAGATTTCAAAGTCGCTGATTATCCCTTTGAGTACGGTAAAGTCCATCATTAAGAAGTGGAAGGTACTTCATACCACTCAGTCACTACCCAAACCAGGCTGCCCTTCCAAACTAAGCAGCCAGGCAAGCAGGAAACTGGTTAGGGATACCGCTGTGAAGCCAACAGTGACTTTGAAAGATTTGCAAAGTTCCATGTCTGAGATGGGAGTCAGTGTTCATACATTGACAATATCCCAGTTGCTACATAAAAGTTGGCCTGTATGGGTGAGTGACAAGAAAGAAGCCATTAGTGAAAAAAGAATCATCTTAAATCTCCTACAAATCTCCTGCGACAAAGCATGTAAATAATAAGGCAGATATGTGGCAGAAGGTTTTGTGGTCAGACGAGATAAAAATTTAGCCCAACATAGCACATCACCCAGTCACAACCATCTCAACTGTCAAGCATGGTGGTGGCAGCTTCATATTATGGGAATGCTTCTCATCAGCAAGGACTGGGAAGCTTGTTAACATTGAGGGGAAAATGGATGGTGCTTAAGTCAGCCAAGAATCTAAAACTGGGTTGAAATTTCACATTTCAGCAGGACAATGACCTAAAGCACAAGACCAAAGTCACACTAAATTGATTTCAAAGAATCCAATAGAAAATTTATTGTGAGATTTGAAGATTGCTGTCCAGTCAGAATTGGAGCAATTTGCCTTGAAGAATAGACAAAAATTACACCATCCCATTGTGCAAAGCTGGTAGAGACCTATCCAAAGAGACTCACAGCAGTAATTACTGCCAAAGATGCTTCCACCAAATACTTACTTAGGGGACTGAATAATTATGCAATCAGCAAGTTTCATGTATATATTTTTTTTGGAGGTTTTGCTGACATTCCACCTCCTTCACACATAGCAATGTTAAGTTTGATCATTAGAGGTTTGAATAAAAACAAGTTAATTAAGAAAAACTGTTTACATTATTTGTATTTCATCAAGGTGTGACATTGTTGATAGGCAGTGAATACGTTTGCAAGGCACTGTACGTTTCTGAGAAAAGTTCCAAAGATCCTGATTATTCTAATGCTTTCAATATGAGTTTCTCAAATGCCTTTCTTTTACTGTTTCTTTGGGTCCACTTTACCTTTCCCTGTATATTCCATTAATGTAGTGAGTTTGATTTTAAATACTTGTTCTTTTGTATCTTATTTTTGCTTGTTTAATGCACAGGTATGAAGAGTGAAAGGTTTTATTCATTTCTTCTCCTTTTCACTTCTCTGAAAAAAAAAAGCGAATGCTTTGTAATCCTTCTAAAATCTTAATTCTCATCCTTGGACACAGAGGATATATGATATTCTCAACATTCTGACTGTTCAACTTCTAAGATTTTATTTGCTCTCAAACATATTAAATCCAATATCAATATTTGTGCTAGCCTAAAAAGTTCTTTGTTTTTTTAGCCATGGCATAGAGGGTCATAGAATTTCTATGAGTTGTTTTTTTTCTCAAGTACAAACTTTTAGCTCTTAGTTCCATCTCTTGACTAATTTGGGATATAATTACAGCTGTGAGTACTAAAGATTCTCTCTTGTTTTTTAAATAAATAATTAGTGTCTTCAGTAAATAATTTATTACTTATTGGACAGCTCTTTCCTTTCAAGTTCAAACTTAACAGCATACCTGTCAACCCGATATTTTTCAAAGGTCAAACTCACTTTGTTGCATTAGTAACTAATTATATCCAAGTGCTTTTTATTTTGGCTTCAGCATCTGGTTTACATCAGTTTAACCTTTATACAAATGGTTATACAACTTACTTACATTAATAAGTTTGAGATCAACTGCTACGTCCCATTTGATGAAGAGTTTATACATCACTTGGAATTTTTCCATAGGAATGATTTTCTGTCATCTTTCCACATTAGTTTAAGCTGCTTTTATGTTGCATTTATTCATTTATAAGTAGTAGTTTGTGGTATATTTGACATGAAATGCAAACTGCTTTCATGTCTTGCTATCTCCTTCATCATATCAAATGCGTGATAGGAATTTAGGTTTAATATTTTTCAATCTACGAAAAGAAATTTATGGGGCCTGAAAGACAACTCAGGGTGTTCAGAAACTTTTGTTTCTCTTTACCCTGTGCAAGATAAAATGTTAATGCCACATAGATTTGGATTGGAACTAGCCTCTGGGTTAGCATTAAGTAGCATGTTGTTTAAGGTGAGTGAAGATGTGACAGATGCCAACACAAGCCAGGAGTCTATCTCGTTGGTGGCTGCAATTTGCTTTTCTGTGACAAAAATACCATATGCCATTATTTAGACAAATCCCAACAATCTTGTGTTCTATAATTTACACTGCATTTTTACTTATTTGTTTTGAAATCCAGTTGTCACCTTTACAGTGCTTAATAAAAAGTCTGTCTTTACTGCTGTTAAGCTTTTTCATTAATCTTCTAACACTTTTCTCACCTTTGGCCCAGAATTGCTTCTTCAAGAAATATTTCTTTCCAATCATTATAGTTATTGGTACTGAGACTATTTCAAATACCAAGTACAAAAATGCTTTTCACTGCTCCCCATTTAGAATGATATGTCCATGTTTAACTTTAATCTTGGAGGATTCAGTGCACTATTGATTTTGATAATCATGGACTGTATGGACAGGTTTTGGTCTGCTCTGGCTTTTCTACTTTTTAATTCTCTATAATTTGTCATTTAACATGATATGAGTGGTCTAAAAACCTTTTGTGTTACTTAAGAAAATAAGTACAAATACACATAAAATTATTCTTGCCTAGCTAAGCTCAACTGCAAAATAATATTATGGGAGCTATTCATACATGAATTCAAGTAAACATGAAAGTTAAGATGGAAATTAAATGTTCAATATCCATGCATAGTAGACTAATATAGGATTAGATTCATCAGTAAATCACACACTAAAGAATTTATCTCATTATAAAAGTAGCCTAAAAGCTGTAGTAGTTTTCAAATTACATGTGAGCATCTGAAAAGATAGAAGAAATTTGAAATGCTAATAAACCAAACTTATGCATCTAAATTTATTATGTTTGTAACTAACTTGTTAACTTACCTAATCCACTTGCTGGTGGCAGGAAACTATGTTTTAATACTTTTGTTCTACTACAAAATTAAATATTGACTCTACAGCTATATAATACACAATGTTACTTTAAGATATAAATACAACCACAGCTTTTAGTAAAAAAATATGGTTATAATGAATAATAGGTAAACATCATTTATAAAAACATACAAACCATTACTTCAAATTTTTCAAGTGTTAAATACAGAACAAAATAAACGTATTCTATATAATTCTACAAAACTTTTGAACACTTTCTTACAACACAATCTCTGGATTAGTAGAAATAAGAATAGAGACTAGAGCAGTGGAAGTAAAGAAAGCCCAGGATAGCTGTGCTATTTGACTAGCAGGTGCTGCTGACTG